CGGTTAACCGATTACTCGGTCGGAATGATGGTAATCGGTTAAAAAATCTGTAATCGGTTAGTCGGAAAAAAAAATAAAATATATGTAATGCAATTTTCATAAAATTCATTTGTAAAAAAGAAACTTTTGCATACAAGTTGATAATTTAGGTAATTATGGCTTTACAGTTCGAGATCGCGGAGTAATTGGTCAGTTTGTGAAGTTAATTACTGTTTTTAAAAACACAACGTCGTTACCCCGTTTGTCCTGTAATTCTTTAATGATATTAAATCACTGTTGAGCACTATGAATTGGTGCGTGTGTCTTTTGCCATTATCTATTAAATTATATTATTAGACAAACATTGTTAATTAAGTGAAAGTTCAGTCATAGTTTTGATTATTGTGACAATGCAAAATAAACCTGTATGTCATTATGCTCTGAAAAATTATCAAAGTCCGATTTCTCAGACATGTTTCATGGTTTTCTTATTTTTTTTTTCTTGTTTATTGAAATTGAAATAAAATATACTTACATGTAGTTTCCTGATTAAGATAAACAGAATGTCTTTAACTTTTAACTTCTTCTTCAGTCTTCTTGTGTATATGAATAGAGCTACTTGAAAAAAAAAATATGTAAAGAAAATGTCTGTTTTGATACGATTAACCGGTTAATCGGTCGGAACGTCTTGCGGTTAACCGATTAGCAATTCTGTATTCGATTGCCATCCCTAATATATATATATATATATATATATATATATATACATATATATATATATATATATATATATATATATATATATATATATATATATATATATATATATATATATATATATATATATATATATATATATATATATATATATAAAGCACTGAAAATGACCAACGACACGAACAATAATTATTATTGTTCGTGTCGTTGGTCATTTTTAGTGCTTTATATAAATTTCCATCCGTGACCTTGTATCTACTTAGTAGATCCGACACTTAGGATATACAGTGTTGTTGGGTTGGTTTTTAGTGCTTTATATATCTATATCTATATCTATATATATATATATATATATATATATATATATATATATATATATATATATATATATATATATATATATATATATATATATATATATACTAAACATGTATTTCAATTAAATTTTAAGTCTTCATAATATACACCCTTCCATCATGACTTATGCTTTGCAGATGCAACTGCATGCTACATGGATTTTGCAAAGCCTGACCCTTTTTGAGTGCATTTGTGCTTTCTGGCAAGATCATTTTTTCGGTTTTACCGAGTCACATATTCTGCATTTCTTTGACTAAACGGCATAGCGAACACATTTTTGGGGGTTTTCCCCAATTCATCCATCATTTCCTTCAAAAATGAAAGAGAATCATCCAATAGCAATAAATACTTTGTAACTCTACATTTTAGTACTTCGGTGAAAAGTTAACCTACCCAAATCAAAAATACAAATTAAGTTAATTGATATTTTAATTTTATTCTGTTTTATTTTAAAATATTAACGAATTCTAAGCTGTATAATGATGGACAGTTTAACATAGAAAATATTACAGGCGCGTCCAGTTCCCTTTTTTGCCAGGCACCTTTGAAGCTGACAATTTGATTACCAACACCCCGAAAGAAAGATTTAGAAATTATCGTGCATGAACTTTTTTTTTTCAAATTTCAGAATTTTTTTCAATTGCTTCAAATTATATTGACAAAATACCAATAAATTTACTTCTCAAATTCCTCTAATAGACTAGTCCGGCAACTTTCTTTTGCCAGTTCATGCAGTGTCCTAGATAGCAAGACTACATCGGGCCAACGTTGGTTGATGGTTGGTAGGTTGGTATAGTGTTGGCTATGGGCGGTAAATGTTTGCCCAATATTGGTCCAACGGATGATATGATGGCGTGAAATCTGGTCCATCGGTTGATATGGCTTTCAACGTTGGCCCAGCGCTGGTTCAACGGAGCGAATATTGGAAAATAAACAACTTCCATTAACATACATGTTGGTGATCTGTTAATTACACATATTAAATTTGTATCTTTTAGAACCACTTAAGCTTCTTTCAATAGAGACATCTAATCTTTCGTTAAAATATTATGAACGAGGGATTATCTAAATAGCCCATTTATTAATAATTTACTGTGTATGTGTTAAAAAAAAATTCCAGAACCTAATTTATGAAAATAAGATTTTCAGTACTGATTTATGTTTGTAATTTGTGTCCGAGACCATTGCAAATACATGTAGAAGTTTTAATTATTCTGCACAGTATATAATTTTGTAGATTCTATATTTCGCATCATGGAACTTAAAGTGCTGAATTTTAGAGCTCCAAATAATTAGGTCAGTGGTGAAATCCACTGGCTCAGCAGGTGACTGGCCGATTTCCTAGGAAACATGCATTCTAATTAGCTCTGTTTCGTAAACTCGGAGTGGTCACATCTTATCACTTGCAACATTTGAACAAAGCATATACATGTGCGTGTCTGTTTTGAATCGCAAGAAAGAGAAAATGGATTGTTTTAGCCCTTGAAATGTAAGTATAGTCGTTTTAGGTGTGATTGATAGAATTTATCTCTGTGAAAGTTTTAACTCGAGCATATTTTGTAAAATAGAACAAGTTATGCAAGAATTGCAATTTTCAAAATATACATGTATATTTACTATAGTAATCTAGTTAAGTTATAACTTATAAGTAGTAAGTGACATCATTTTTGAAAGGATTAAACTGATATATTTTTTATATCATTTAAAGCATCTGATGGGGAGAAACTCTTTGTGTTATAAGACCATTGATGTTTGGAATTTAATGGGCAGTGAGTGATTTATCTCAATTATCAGTGTGAGAGACATGGATTTTAAAGACAAAGAAACAATAACATGAACAGGAAAAAAGGAGTGAATGGTTCAGAAGTACTATGGGCAGGAGGACATTCAAAAGTTTCACAAATTTGAACACTGGGACGCTTATTCTAGAGGAATATTATATAGAGATTGAAGTAATATGGGATAGACTTGAGAAAACATTAAAGTACCTTTATTTCCCTCTGTTTATTTCATTCCATAGGAGTTACAAAAAAAGAAAGAAAATAAAACATTTGTTTGAGGAACAAGCTAATCTACCATGCAGGATTTATTCAATCAATTGTGTTTTACTCGTAATTATGGAAATAAAAAGGTTACAGGAATTCATGTTGTTAAACTAAAATAATTCAATCGCCGATCATTTGCTGTTTATAGAACGTAGGGCCAACGTTGGTCCAACATTCATTCTTAGCTTTAAAAAAAATATTGAACCGACATTGGGCCAACAGGAAGTTAAACGTTGGGCCATTGTTGGGCCAATGCCAGATAACCAATCATCGAATGTTGGCCCAACGTCGAGCCAACTTGTTGGTTGAACGTAGGGCCGATAAGCAAGATGATGTTGGGCCATCGCATAAAACTGACAGAGTGCCAACGTAATATTCACCGTTGGGCTTGCGTTGGCCCAATGTAAGCTTGCTATCTGGGGTACTGCCAACTTCCCTTTTCCTTTCAATTAAACCTCCCTTTGAAGTTCCTGAAATGTTAAGTACTGCTAAGAAAACATTTAAATGTGACTCTCCGAAGCCAACAGTGATCATTCTTAATTGTTACAAACACAATTTGATAAATTTGAAAAAAAAAATATCATTGACTATAAATCAATGCCCAATATATTGAAATGCAGATGTTTTAATTAACATTACAGAAAACAAAATACATATGCTTATATCTACATTATATTATATTTCACTTACCTACTGCTACCTACGTATTAATAACCCATGCTTGTCCACCCTTTCTTTTCTGTTTGATGTTTTTTGACTGTTGGAACATCATTAAACTCCCTACACTCCTGGTATCTTCACTGCACTTGCAGAATTTGGAGCGAGTCCGAATCTCCTTTCTTCCACGCAATCGGACAAATGAAGAGGCTGTCCTCATCTCTTGCACCCTTTAAATTAGCTGCTAGAGTACCGAGTTCAATTATTCGTGTACCTTCTCTCAACTTATTGACCCTTCCTTTTGATCAACATGGACATTTGGGTCAACACAGGGATACACATGGTCTTTGTTGGCGATTGAAGTAATCACTGACGTTTCAATACTTCCGCTGGAGTTTTTATCCTTCATATGATTCCAAAATTTAAAACACTCTCTCTGCAGGACCTGATTTCGATTAATTCGAGACAATTGCACGAACTCGCCCTTTTTAATTCTAGGCGGCATTTCTGTTGGATGTTATTGATAAATGATAGTGTTATAAACCTTCACCGGAGTCCGATCCGGAGATGAAGTCACAAGACTAGCCCGTACTTTAAATAAGGTTTTAATTGAAAAAATATTATGGACGTTTTTTTAATTGTTAAACGATTGTCAATTGTCAGCTTGAACATGAAATTATCTATCAACTTACATCCGTCAAACCGTGTCCAGGCATTTACTGTCTTTTTTGCTATATCATGGTCGTTTATAAAACGAAAGTAGATGTTCAATTGCTCGTACATTTATGATTATTGCTTTGCGAGAATCAAAATAAAATTTATGGACTTCATCTTGGTGATGGAGTACGTAGAGGAATGAGTATGAACTCCGATACAGGCCTTTCGGAGTTTATTTGCAAAATCTTTAATAGGTATAGATTGATATATATGTTTCTTTTGAGGTATTTTTCTCTATTCCAATTTCTTGACAATCGAAAGGAATTTTTGAACGAAAAAAAAACGTAATGATGAGTAAGACAAAAATGCGTTATTATTAAGATGATACAAATCGAAAAAAGAGGTACTGGATGCTTTTCGTCAGTAGTCCAGAGGATATTTTTTAACCGTATGAACTTTTACTCCATATTAATGATACAATGTATTTCTAAAATTTTTAAAACTCCTTTCATGTTTTCAATAAACTTTTATCAGTTTATGTCTTTATTACATTATTGTCTTTAGACAAAACAATTAAAATCTGCTCACCTGAATCATAAGAAATAGTCCAGCAGTAAATAACCACAAGATTAATTTCATTTCACTTCTCTTTCTCTCTCTCTCTGATAGATCTAATTATTAATATGAATAGAAACGTATTCTAAGTCAAATTTCTTGCTACATACAAATATATATCAATCTGTCTGTGCCTCAGCTTATTAATGACAAACACTCCGTGATTTCATTGATTTTCAAATACCTACACATGTATTACAAAAGAATATATAAAAATAAGGTATGCAGGGCAAGAAAGCGTCGTCTACCGCTAAAAACCAACATAAGGCAAATCAACGAACGAACGTAACCAAGTAATTAAACAATATGGGGTCGCTCAATGTATACCACGGTTGCATAACTAACTTCTTATATATATATATATATATATATATATATATATATATATATATATATATATATATACACATATGTGTGTGTGTGTGTGTGAGATACCTTAAAACTAATAGCGCTAATATACAATTAAAAGGGTTCCAAGAAGGGTAATAAAAGTAAGCGTACAGTCATTGAAATAAAAGAAAGAAGAGGCCAGAATTGATTACCACTTCAATCTACTGTCACTACTTTGTAGGTAAAATTAAAAAAAAGAAGGTAAAAGTACACAACTTAGGTATTATTAATAAGAATTTCTAACATGATTGTATGATGCAAAAGTAGCAGATTTTGAATATCCATAATTTCCGACAGAGAAATCATTCATAGCAGTTTCCAGATTTTTGTGGTAATTGCCATTTATTATCTCAGATAAGTACCTATTAATAAAAAAAAACAATCGTGGCAAAAATTGAGCACGGATGTAAATCCAGAGACTCGAATTATCAATTCTATTAGAGACTCTGGCAACAAAACGAAGGGATTTTATTTTAGAACAATACTGGACATGCTTTCCAAATCTCCAGTAACATGTATTTGGGAAGAACAAAGAAAATTTGAGCTAATTTAGGAGATCTGAAACATAAGTATAAAGTGTTTTATACGCACGAGCGTTAAGGATAGGAATAAGGGTAGGTCGGGATGGGAATTAAGGGGCTTGGCTCAATGTAATAAAAAAGTGTTCAAATTCATTTCATTTTACTATACCTACGAGGGGTTATCAAAAAGTTCGTGGACTGATAAGATAAAATTTATACTATGTAGTCTGTGCTTACAAAAATCTTAAGGAAAATAGAACAACAAAATGTAAAGAGGTGTTGAAAATTTTAGGTTGATACGTTGATAATTTGCCAAGTTATCATAAAATTAAAAAGACATTATATGATCACACGGTGCTGTCCCCGTTTAGTGTCATGACGTCCGACAACGTCATAGTTTTTCACTGCCCGCTCCCTATACCTCATACACTTATTTTGATGAGACTCTTAGATTTAAGTAAAGACTTAAACACGTCTTGTTTATATGACTTTACAATATCATGAACAGCTGATTTCAATGCATGATGAACGTCATTTTTCAACGTGACAAACTTTGAACACCCTGACTACAAAAAATCGACATTAACTGTGCATCTGTCATCTCTCTTATCTTTTTCGACATTTAAAATCAAGTACTTATTGTTCTGTAGCCCGTTTAAACATTTTCTAGGTCCATGCCAATTTTTCCAGGGGTGAAACTTTATAGAATTTTGGAAAACGAACCCCTTTCCCTCATTTTGGCGTCATTACAACCCCTTCATTTTTTTTTTTTTTTAGATATTTCTTATAAAATGTACGATTAAATTTAATAGAACCTACGGAATTGGGTAAAAAATGACAAATTTTACGGAACAATTGTGTCATACCAGTTGATTGAAATAAGGGGATATTTGGATGACAAATGCTCTTATCAAATGTTTTTTTTTTTCTCAGTTACACTCATAAAGAAAAAAACGTCATCTTCGAGGTTGCGCCGCCTGGACATACCATTGTTTACAAAATCATTGACAATTCAATAAAAAAATAAAACTTATGATTTATAGTTTATTATATAGATAGAAAAGATGATGCTAACTAAATATTTGAAAATTAATGTACCTTAAGAGGTTTTGATTTTATGGTGATAGTCCACATTTTTTATAGACCCACGTATACTTATTTCAATAAACTGGTCGTTAAAAAAAAATCGAAGGGCAATATACTTGCCATAGGCCGATGATTTCAAAAAAGTATTTTAATGAGGGATTCTTCTGATATTTATTGTATTTAACAATTATATTTTCACAGATTGAAGAAGCAAATATCACCAAGAGATAGTATCAATGAGATTAAATTCAACTGATTGATTTTAGGAGCAGGTCAGGTCAAGATCATTTTTTTTTTCATTGTCATTAAGAATTAAAAAGAATATATATACTGTTGATAATCATGTAATCATGTGTAGCATACTTCTATTTCAAAAGATGAAGTGTTTTTCTTTTTGCATAAAAATTCGATACCACCTAGGTCTCTTAAATGATAGAACCAAATTGAGATAAATTATAACGGCTAACTCGAATCCATCTATTTTTCAAAGACTTTTAGGGAATATTAGTTATTTTCATATACTTCGTAAATAAAATTTTCTAATTTTCACATTTGGGGAAACATTGATGTAAAAACGAAAAACACGATACAAAAAATAAAATAAAATAAAAATTGTTTGTTTGCTAAGAGAGAGAAAAAAAGTGGAGCCATTTTGAAAATATTCAACCTGGAATTCCTCTCAACAGCTTTTTTCTGTAATTTTTTTTTTCATGTTTACTTAGATATAAGTATTGTATACCAAAATACTCGTGATGAAAATCCAAGTCAGAATAGTTTTTATGACTGGTTGGCTTCCACTCCTCGACCCCTTTTTTCATCTCGGCATGCTTAAAATTCGGCAATACCCAAAACAACATCACACCGACCTTTTTAATACTATATACGGAGCAGTAGCGACAAGGGATCGATGACAACGGACTTAATTGTCGTATCTTGTCATGACAACGGACATAAATTGAAATATTTATATCAAAATTTTCAGTTTTAATTTGTTCAAGTTTTCTTTCTGTAAATGCTTACAACATGCCTTTTTGCTATCTATACCAATTCGTGTGTCTATTATATTCTATTTACGAAAAATATAACACCTCAGAAGAAAAGTGAATCAAGTTCACGTGTGTTTTCAACAGGGTTTAATATCGCCAAGGCAATTTGCATTGCTCGTTTTTCACAAATGAAATCCATACAACACCAAAAAGGGTGTCAGTCCTGTTCCCCATTATAATTTCAGACATTGTTATAAATAATTTAACGTGAAAAATGAAAAAAAAAATGTTCACAGCCTATTTTTTAAGTCATGACACCGGACGAATAATATCATAACCTCACCTGTATGTTCATGACAACAAACCATTTTCAGTGCTTAAGGCCCTCTCACACCAAGCTGCGTCCCCACGGAGTTATTATTATGGCGTTGTTAAATTTTGAAAATCTCCGTGGAAACGCAGGGAAAATGGACAAATTTCTTTCAAATGTTCACAATATGAAGGATTCACGGCGTCCCTAAGGCGACCGATGCATTTCTACGGCGTTCTCGTGGAGTGCTACTGCATTCCTACGAATGTCTCTTGGCGATTGACTGCGCTTCCGTGGAGTTTTCACCTCGCTTTCACGGCGTTCTCACTGCGCTGGCTGGGTTCACAGTACGTTCACAATGCGTTCTTAACCCATAGATATATACATAGAAGGAGTGTAAGCATCGCCGATCAGTTTCGTTTCACCATGACTAGAAAGAGGATCACGAAATCTAAGAAAAGGACAAAAAATTGCCCTCTGCCCTTGGATTCTATTCCTTCGGCTTTAGATTTAATCCAAACAGCTGCAATTCAAACAACATTAGACCAAAATCCAATGCTGACAGATTTGAATCCAGACTCACTGTCACCACCTCTTTCAGAGCGCGACAAATCGAGCAAGCAGTCCATCAAACCCTTCTTCCTCAGACATTCTTCCAATACAGCCACAGAAAAGATCTAAGACTGACCTTACTGATGACAAGAAGAAGAGAAGGCTTCATGGCTTAAAGTAAAGATATTTTGTACAACAGAAAACTGAATGCCTACAAAGATTTCAAAAAGGAAGACATGCTTTGGGAATCCATGCTTTTCCTCGGTCTTCTCCCGGTACTGGATCGACTAGCGCAATTTGGCAGCCTCCGCCTCAGCAGTGGCCTACAACCGTCCAACAGAACATGTCTGTTTGGGGATCGCAGAATCCTGTTTGGGTTCAAGCACAGATGACTGAGCTACAGTCAACGACAATGGTGACCCAAGGGTCATCTAAAATACTGTAGATTCCTTATTTTACGCGAGTACTTAATATCGCGAAATGGCTCTTTGCTGCCAAATCGCGAGAACAATAATTCGCGAGTGGCCGGTTGATTAAGAGATTTTACATGGATTTCAGCCCCATAAAAATAAAAGCGAGTAATTTTATTTCGCGAGTGGTGCTTCTCGCGTAATTACGCGATAATTAATTCCTCGCGTATATATAGGAATCTACAGTAGCAAAGCATCCCTATTTAATCTGTAATACCCCTCTTGACAGAGTTGCTGGGGCATATGATGAGCGTAGGGATGGAGAAGGGCTGTAAACAATTTACGATTATTCGACACACCAAAAAATGTGAACCGTAACTTTTTATTATCTGTGTTACTATTACTGAAGAAACATCGGAAGTTTGAACTATGTTATTGTTATTTTGTTTGTTTGTTTGAGTTTTTCATCTGAACTGTTTTACATGTATACAGATGGGAGTGGTGACCTTTATTTTCTACGTTTATTGGTAAATAAAGGATGTCAACATTGTTTTTATCTCTTTGCGTATTTAAATGAAATATGGTAAACATAACTCATCATAAAATGCAAATAAAATACTATGAAATTATGAACGTTCACATAAATCATATTTAAGTAATTCATAGCAATTCATAAACACATATACAGACTATATTCTACTGAGTCCCTTGGCGATCACAATGCGCTTTCATTGTGTTCTTGGAGCGTTGCATTGAAACGTCATCAACAAGTCGAAGAAGAAGAAGACGCTGTATATCTTATTCAAAGACGAAGACAGAGGAAGCCCGCAAGACGGAGGGTGGTTTGGATACGACAGTGGC